CAACGACCCACTGCGAAGGAATTACTGTCTGTAAGTGCTGCTAGGGCATTCAATTGTTCGTAAATTTACTGCTTATAAGAAATTGTAATCATAAACGTAACAAAAATTCACAGATAATCAACGATGCAACTAATAGTCACCCAAAAGTAAGCAAGGATTACAGTGTGTATGATGAAAACGATGAAAGCAGTCTGGGGGAAAGTGTTGAACATATGAGAGGTTTGTTCATTCATACATTATTCACGTCAGTATCTTTTAGAAATATATGTTATTATAAAATAAAATTTCCAAAAAATATTTTTCAGAGTCGCTAGAAATTGAAGAAACAGAAGCAATTCAAAATTTGCCAATTAACGAGGCCTTTTTTTATGGAAGTTATGTGGAAGCAGCATTGAGACTATTCTTATTAACCATGACATTATTAAAGCAAATCCACCTGTTCTTGCTTTACCACAGTTCGTCTTAACATTGTAATCTGCTGATAACATTTCTTTATTACTATTTTCATGTCTTTTACTCTTTTCAGTTTAGTTAATGGAGATTGCTTCATGTATGGTAATGCTCATATAAGGAAGTATCGATTCACTTCCGATATTTTTATTCTTCCATCAAATAATTTTCGCTACGTAAGTTTCGCAGAAGAATGACATTGGGAGAATGATTATGCTGCTTTCATCAAAAATTTGATTTTATTCGCTGCTATTTGCTGTAAGTAACATTTTAGCGGATGAAGTCCCTTGACAGAAACAAATTTCTCATGTCATTTGAAATGGAAGAAAAGACGCGGGAGTCCTATGGTTTATCTTTAATCGTGAAGGAAAAAGACATTGAATACCAGGTCTACATTCGCACCATTATTTGAATATCAATTCCAGACTTTGATGACCGAAATGTCTTTTTTTTTGAGGAATTTTCTCCATATTACGGATTACGGATTTCAGGGTCGGCGGATGCTTATTCTTCGTCGTTTACTTTCAAGCTATCCCTTCAAAAAGCCACTTTTATTTTGCGAATGTTGCCATGACATTCCTCCTCTTTATAGAGCTAATCTGTGGAGTGCACTATTGAATATATATTGGGATGTTGAAAAACGTTTTATAGCAATTGATACATTCTCACCCCATGCTTCTGACCGCCAATTATTAGTCGATATTCCTCGGTGTCACCAGGTTATGTTTCTAAGAAACAGTTACACAAAAGTATCTTTACTGTGAGGTTCCTCTACAAAAAAAAAGAAAAAAAAGGAAAAACTTTTTTGGTATCCGTCCACATATGCGGTCTGATTTTTCCACGAAAGTTTTCATATTTTTGTAAATAATACGATTTATGTTTAATTGGAGAAAGTGTCATATGGTTTTGTAATTTATCATTTTTTTTTTTAATTGTAATTATGACCACAATTTCTTCACCTTGTCTTTCACATCACCTACATTACACTTGATAGCACATATCATTATTACTATAACGACTTTTGAAATATAACAATTTAATGGCTTTTTCAGTATGACGATTTGATGGCTTCATCTACTGCGCATCGCAAGCTGAAACGTCTTTTGAAGGCATGGCTCCTTTCACATGAAAATTATGTTTATTGGCAAGGTTTGGACTCTCTAGCAGCACCATTTCTTGTTCTCAACTTCACTCATTTGGGTACCAGTTTACATTTGCAGAGTAGATTTGATGATGGCGATACTTATTTGTTAACAACAGTATGGTATTAAATGATTTAAGTTGAACAGTTCTGTATTTTATCCTAATCAAATAATATGCTGAGTTACGTGACTTTCAGCTAGTGCGTATTCCTGTTTGGAATCGTTCATCAGCCTGTATTTGCATGATTTTTTCCTGCGAGACAACTCATCTGTTGTACAGGGTTAGAATGAATTTACGTTTGTCATTATTGAACAACATATGCTGTGATTTTTGATCGATTTCATTTGTAGAATATTTGGCAGTTTTTTTTCATCTTTTGGCATTCATGGATGCTGCGTTATATACACATCTTTCCGCTATGGATTTCCGTCCTGAGTTATTCGCTATTCCATGGTTTCTGACCTGTTTCGCCCATGTATTACCTCTTCACAAATTATTCTATGTACAGTTTTTTATTGGATGTGTTTTTTATTGCAATAATTCCGATTTCTGTATGCAGTGCTTTGCATAACAGACTGCAATAAATCTCAAGTTAAACGAATATGGTCCTTGAGTGAGTGTAGTATTGGTAGTTAAATGAGTATGCGTTCAAATTTTATTTACAGCTTACTCAAATCTTATTTGCAGCTTATTGGATGAAAGTTGTTTTCATTATACACTAATAACTTAATTTTGCTCCATTTTTTTTAGATTTGGGATGTCTTATTATTATCGGATTCATCTTTTCCATTATTTGTCGGACTTGCAATTATGGAACAGTTACGGGCTGAACTTATTACTGCACATTTCAACGATGCAATTCTACTTTTTTCAGACCTTCCAGGTTTGTTTTATCTTAAATTATGAAACAGTTATTGCTGCATCTCTAATTTTCATTCACCTTTATTACCAGATCTTAACATGGAACGTTTGGTGCAGTGTTCACTGAATTACTACAATAATGTGCCAGCATCATGCACCTTCAGACAATATGCATCCAAACATATACGAGAGGAGTATGCAATGACGCATTATACTATAACTGAGTTGGACGAATTTTGTTGTCCACGAATATCAGCTACTGATGTTATTCGTCTCACTGAACATTCTTTACTACTTGTTGTCGATGTCCGTCCTCAGTACGAGTAAGTCCATATGTTTGGTATATTTTTTTCTCACAGTGATGTTCTGAGGCCTTCACTGTGTGTTTATGATGTAAATGTCTTGAAACTTTCAGGTATTCTCGCGGTGCCATTGTGGGCAGTGTAAATTTGCCTCCGTATGGTGAGGAGGATACGTTGGATACCATTAAAACAGCATTAATAAATGCACAGTCTGCAGAACATGTCGTCGTTATCGTTGATAACGAACATTTACGGAGGGCTAAAAAGGTTGTATATATTCTTTGTGATTTGTTGTATTACCGGTCTTTCAAAATATACGGAAAGCTAAAAAGGCTAAAATTTACTGCTAATAGTATATATATATATATATATCTTTAGTCGTTGACACGTTTCCAGTTAGATCACCAAGCATTTCTTTTGTTAATATATAAGAAACTTCCAAATGGCCACAGAGAACATATACGATGGTCATATCGACCTATGCTCAGCAACCACTGGTGGTTTCACCCGTCACAAGATTTAAATAAAACTAATGTATGAGCTGTTTGCAGATATCAAAGTTATGCGTGCTGGAAGGATACAATCGCGTGTGTGTTTTGGATGGTGGTGTTCAGAAAGTTCGCTCTATGCACGATATCTTTTGCATACCTGCTTGAGAACTGAATGATTTCTAAAATATGAACATCGATTTGGTTAAGAATAGTAATGATTAAAGGAGTTTTTAGAGTATGATATCTGAGGTGTTACATGTGTTTAGTTCAACAGTGTTGTTGTTATTGTGCTTGGAAACTTTCCCCCTTATTATCAACAAATCCATGTATGGGGATATTCCTTGCATAAGTTGTTATACCGTTTCAACCAAACTATCGTCTTTTTTTATTAGACTCATCTTTGCGTTTTCAGACTTCCTAGACTTATTGGTTTTGTTCATTTCGTTGCGAAAAGTGGTAAGTTAAGTGTTTGTAGAAATCAAGCGAATTTTGGTCTCTTCTGGATGGCAAGTCCCGTATATTATCTCAAAAGGCTGACTTTTTCTAAATCTGCCGAAATCTGTCAATTGGATTGATTATATGCGAAATCTGTATCAGTCAGAGGGCTTTCAGTAAATTTATAAACCAGTAAGTGATTAAGTTCCATGATGTCAATATACCTTCCACCACTGATGTTCAAGATGTTTGTCCGGTTTTTGGGACTTTTGTTTGATTAATGTAGCAAAAAATACCTGAAACTGATGGAAGGACCGAGTTATCTGGATTGTGTAATCCGGATACCTTATATATATGAGCAACATGAATGACCATTAATGACCATTACAAGCGGTTCCTGTGCAACAATATAATGTTGTTTGCCATTAAACACTCATCAAAATTATAAGAATTGTAAGGACATGTTTAGTTGGAGTTGTAGTGGTTAATGTGGTAAGTTTATTCAGTCCTTAAATGGCGTTCTAAATTCTGCAAAGTGTGATTTCCAAAATTTTATGTGTTGGATTAAGGAGGGGTCAAAGTGAATTTCGGAAGATAGAGACTGGTATTTAATCCCTGGTTCTCAGCTGTTGTGGAGTGAAAGCTGTCCACACGTTAGCCTTTGCCGTTGAGAATAGGAAATCAGTTATCAGCTTTGTTAAATGGGTGACGTTTGAATAGTATCTATTATCATTTATCAAGGTACTAATGCAACAAATGATTCGTCCTGTTGCTTTGCTGATTTGCTCCCTAAGAAGTGCGCAAAAACAAAATTTCCAAGAAATCGTTGAATCCGACTTCAGGTTCATGCGATAGCCGTTGATCGTTAAGAAGGATCTGAAAGGAATTTTAGATTACAAGCTATCGCTCAGTTGCATTGTATTGTTTGTTCTGTGCATTAGTGGTATATATGGAAAGGGAAAGGACGAATCTTAAACAAAATGTGATCTTCATCTTCCAATTTTTATAATTAGTCCGTTTAGATTTATCAATATTTCTTTAACGCTCATCCAAATCTGGTTTTTGATTCCTTATTTTTTGTTAAGCGTTACCCCTTCTGTTTTAGAACCATCACCAGTTAACATGTAGAATATTGCACGAATTTTAGGGCATTATAATATGCCTACTAACAATCAGAAAACAAGTACTGATTTTTTTAAGTATTGATACGTGTGGCTCAATTTCCGGTCTGCTAGTAAAATCTAACAATTGAATATGTTGTTGCTGTTCTAATGTTGTTTATGAACATTCACGCTAACCCCAGTGAACTAATGTGTTAAAAATGAATAATGTGAAAGACTTTGCTGTTATCCAGGATTCGTTTGAAAGTTCTAGCATAATAAGCCTAGCAAAAGCAATGTTATAAAACCGCTTTTTGTATATAAATTTGATGAATGATGTGTGCCATCAGTCGAAGGGTTTTTTGCGAAAATAGTACATAATGTATGATAATATTTCCTAATTAGTGGCAAGGACTGTTTTGGAATTTCAGAAATGCGAAGACATCTTTTTGGTATACTTATTATGCATTAAAGAGTTAAGATTTCTGCAGTTGGAATTAATCCTATGCAATTTTGCTTAGAATTACAGGAAGGAAGATGGCGAAAATAGGTTTAAGGAAAGATGGAGCAATAAAGTTCATTTATGCGCGAAATTCTATCCTATTCGAAATACAAGCAGGATTTTTTTCTGGATTTTTACTAGTTATTGATTATTTATCAATAATCCTTCTTTCGTTCTGTTGACACCACAATTACTGGTCGTTTTCGAATAGCTGAACCGGATAAACTCAATACACTTTGTAGATGACGCTACAGCGAAACGTTAGATAATCGGTAGCAAAGGTGACCAAGATAGGTCGATAAAGCATTTATACAGGGAGTATTGGTGTACACCATCGTCAGCAATGCCAATTACAAATGACTGAAAAGTTATGACGAGCTTTTCAATGTTTTAAATCCGGGAACCATCGTTTTTAGCACTCTTCTACTACGTTATGAAAGTTTCGGCGATATAAAGATTCGGTTTTCTTCTCTTATCCACATTTCTAGCAATCTTTCGTCGTCTTAGTTCCAGCTGAAAGTTTAATGCTTCATTTAAAATTGAGTAAATCCATTTCATAAATTGTGGAGTATTTTAATGCTTACTTGAATGAATTAGATTATCTTAAATACAGGTGAATATATTGCAGCACATTGTTATACAGGTGAATATATTGCAGCACATTGTTTGCTTTTCTTTTGCTCTGGTGTTCTTGACACTAACATATCGGAGCGCATTAGATCAATGGTTCAGTTCTTCAAGACAACAAAATTATCGTATTAGCTGTACAATTCATATTTGTCGGTTCATAACAGGATATTTTAGGTACGGGTTACATATGTAAGAAATAAATACTGCAGTGGATTTAAAGCAGTCATTCATAATTTGTGTGCACATGATTTATTACACGTCGTTGATTCAGTGGATCGAAATGGCAAAATTTATGGGACAGAAACTGTTTTCTAACTGCTGGTTCTATGAACCAAACGGACATTTCAACAAATTTTAAAGAATTTTTTTAGTTTTCAATGATTCAGCTCTTCATGACAACTTTGAACCTATTTGGAGTTGTAAACACCAAAAACGCGTCGGTGGATTAATTCAAATCGATGTTAATATGACAAAGCGAGGAACAAAAAAAATTCCATCTACTGACTAGGAAAAATATTCAAAAATATGTCAAAGTAATATTAATTCGAACTAGTTTATTCGTATTGATTTTCTAGACTTCTTTGCAGATTTGTGAAAAACAGTGCCCTCAGATAAAATATCGGAATTCACACATGCAGCGAACGACAAGTTTCCCGTTATTTGGAACAGTGGAAGATAAGAATGAATTGAATAACAAAGTGACCAACGAAGGTAATATTTCAAGGTAATAACATAATATTTCAAAGAATGTCTCTTCAGAGAAAACAACATTCAAGCTCCCCATAATTTCAGCTATTTCATGACAAAAATGTTTGTTACTCTTTTCTTTAAATGTTTTCTGACTCACTTTCTTTCCCTCTTGCTTTGACGACTTCTCCATATTTTAATCTCACAGTTATAATAATTCAACACAGGAACAACTTGTGGATGTGAAATGTTTGAACGACAGTTTATCGACTACCTTTGACATCTTGATGCCTACAATGTGCCTCGTCCTTCACGCTTCTTGATGTTTAATGCCAAAAACCGGGACAATGTCAAATTACTTAATTAAACATATAAACTTTTGGTACCAAAATCAGAAAATGAGAAACAAGAAAAAGATGAACAACATGAAATGTGGGCATAGGAAGAAGATTAGCAACCATGCCACTAAAGAAAAGAACGGTTGAAATCAAGGAAATCATTGCTTATGAAGAGCTCTAATTTTATTTTGATCGAAGCAGTAGCTGATTCACGACACACTCAGTGCGGCTGCTGATAACTTCAGTTCTTTATTCTTTTTTTCCTTGTTTTGAATTGAATTTGGGATAAAATCATTGCAGTTTCATTATACCGACAAATGCCAATTAAAGTTCTTACAGTGTTACTTCTTGACACTTTTTTTCTGGAAATCAAATTCTTTCTCATATGAAATCACCAACTGATTAAACAAATCAGACTAGTCGAATACCCTATGTCTCCGTTAGACTATCGGATTTCTTCCGTTTTACTCCGTTTTTAAAACGTTTGGACGTCAGCTTCCTAATTGACTTCTTAATGATGAGACAGCGAAAAATCATTTATACAGTAGAAAAGAGTTTGTCGCGAAATTTATTATTCATATTGATTTTCACTGCAATTTATGTAGTCACATATCTATTGTCAATGGAATAACAATATAATTTAGGATACAAATACGTCATTACAGCTAATGAAACGGAAAAAATAATAGTTAACGCCCTGCCCCAGAAAATGTTGGCGTATACTGACACTGGCTGTAATCCACGGGAGAGATCATGTTGAAAGCTTTTGTCATCACGTTTATGTAATCTGAAAAGTACTTAGTAATTTGAAATTTAAAAACCTCATTAATTTAAATTTAATGAGATTCGAATCCAAAAAAGCTAACTAAAAATGGTGTAAATTTCTATAGATCAGCAATTTGTCAAATTTACTTGACAGTCTTAATTGTCTATTTCCTGTGCTATCCGTTTTGTAAAGTTACAATTCACTTATTTGAAAAAATGTATTTCCAACACTCCGAAGTTTTTTAAATTTCTGTTATCGATCAATAATTTGCTTTCAAAGCAAATGGCTTACTATTATCTTCCAAAAATTGCAATACATTTCGCATATGCTCGCTACGGAATCTTTCTGGATCTCGGGCAATAACAAATACAGGAAATCTGACCCAGTTTGATACAATCACATAATCATATTGATTGTATTCATTTAGTGGGCCCTTTTTTATCACCCAAACTGCAATGTCAAAGTTTTACTAGGTTTTAATTCATGAAACGTAATGATGTCCTTCATAGATGAGACCTGCGTTATATAGACTGTCTGTTCTTTATAAATCTGAAAATATATGGATTCTGAAAGGAAGGCCTAGATTTTTGTGGTTTTCTCTTGAATTTTTCCATAATTAAAACTTTTCAAAGTGTTTGGAATATCGATTGGATTGCTATTTGGTCACATGATGTCAAATTTAACTTTCATTTCAAGATGGCAAGCAATAAAACAAGCTCTTTGAATAATCAGGAAGTCAAGTTTGAATGTTGGACTTAACCTACATCTCGCTCTAATTTAAATCGGGTAACGTGCACTGTCCAAACATTTTGAATTTAAGGGACGAGCATAGCCTAGCATATTACAGCACTATTGCTCATGCACGTATTTTTTTTAACTACATTATAAATCGATCAGTTGATTACATGGTTCCGAATCCGGTGAATTGCTATTGTGTAGAACGAATTGCCCAGTATCGCCTGACTTGAATCCATAACCAAGTGAGAAACGTGGTGGACCATTAGCATTTCCTTCACGATAAAACTTCAGGATTGTAAATGTTGCACTATATGTGTTGTTCGTCAGCGCGCCAACTATAAAAGATTGATTCTGAGTTTTAGTAAAACTTCAAAACTGTTTAGGCTGATCATTCTTGAAATGATTTCGCATTTATTTTTTAGTATAAATGAATTGGCCCACTATTTTTTTAGTTCGTACTAACTGAAAGAACCCTATATTATACTGTGAAATTTATTTTAGGACGATAAAGAGAGTAGAATTTCCAGTAACCAAAGATTATTGTAATATCGTTATCAGTAGGAATAAAATTTATAATTGATAACTAAAACAAACAAAACATACAATGCGACACTGTGCATGCTTCACGGATAACATGAGGACTGTTGATTACCTAAAATTTGAATTAGATGAAAGTAATACTTATGAAAATTGTATAGCTGATCAAAAGTGGCAAACGCATACTTGAAACCAACGACCCATCATGCGAGCGACATCGACATTTTCAGCTGCCGGATGAACAGCTCGAAAGACATCTTTTGCCAAATTTTTGGCGTAGCCTTTTGGCACTAATCGGCTGATTGATGAACCCAAAAGAGTATTGGTTGGTGGAATCATTTGTGGAAATAACTGACTTATCTGAACAAAATAAGGGTACTTTTCAAGAATAAAAGTAAGGATAGGAATTGTTCTCCAGCAATAAAACTTAATACTTGCTTTGTGGTTAGAACTCTTCTATTATGTGGTCAAATATGATCATGAAAAAAATTTGTGCATGGACATTCTGAATATCTAATTCTGTCACGAATTAAATTGCAAAAAATTTTATTCTCGAAATAATTCTGAAATCGAAAAAGAAAAAGACAGACCAGATAGTTGAAATTGCTAAGACCAGGAATAGTGTTCACTCCTGGTATAGCTGGCACATCCTGTGGTCCAGGAAAAGCTGGTACTGGTATTGGAGCTAAACCAGGAATTTGTCCACTGGCAATACCTTGTAAATCGATACGGTTCTCATTTGCTTCCGCTATCACAGAATTTATATCATCATTTTGAAAGAAGCTAGTTGTTATCATTGGCTTATACCTTCGACCATTGAAATCAGATGATAGTCCTAACTGATTCAAAACGCTGTCCGCTATTTCACTTATTTTTGCTAGGGCGATTTTGTCCTGTAAAGTATAACTTATTGAATAGGTAGGATACCAATTTTCACGAATTAATTTTACAATTCCCCACCTTAATATCATTCTTGCATTATTACTTGGGCATATGCAAAAGTACAACTCATTTGGAAATTCGATGATGTAATCGCGGAGCCGTAGGAACATCATTTTATCTAAATCATAGCAATGTAGGATAACTAAGGAAGATCATCACAGTACTGTTGGTATCCCCTGACTTTCCACTCCAAAAAATTTTACGCTACTTATGTCGTTGTATTATAGCTATAGAATAATAACTTAATTAACCGATATTCAATCATATCAACTAAAAATGCGAAATCTATTCTGATAAGTACAATTATCATCATGCCATTATTAAGTTTAATAAACCAACCTGTTTAGTGAGTGCAATATTTTTGCCAAATGACTGCGATGTAGAATTATTTTGTTTGGTATTTCGAAAAAATTTCAAAGATGGTCTTAATAAGCGTGAGCCTGCTGTATTAGCTGGAGAAGGCTGTTGTTGGGGATCGTCATGGATGAGTTGTGAGTAAGACAGGGGTAAGTTTATCCACGAAATGAAGCTAAAGATTAAAATACAAATAGTACCGGCTGTGGAAGAACGACCTAAAGAAGAAGCAGTCATTTGGCTCACCAATGTTTGAAATGTTTTGAATTAGGTCACTGGTACATAATCACCAGTCTGTGTCTTTCTCTTCTTACACCAACACACACTATTACGCCCTCCAAAAGAGGGTTATTTTGGGGTCTATGTCCCTTTTTCACCTCCTCTTCTTGCCTTTTCATTTCAACCATTAAAAGAGCTCAACGTCCACATATTTCAGTGTTCTTTTTTCTAGCGGTTCTTCATTTTCAAGGATTTACCAATTTGCCATCATTTTAACACTTTATTTAGCTCAAAAGTACTGTTACTTTTCCTCCACATCGCTGTAACCTCAAAAACTTCGCCTTTAGATAACTTCTAATAAGAGATGATGCGCAGTAGATGTACCGTACACCTTTGGTAAGTAGAATTTGGATTAGAAATGACCCATATGTTATTTCCCTTTTCCACAGATTTACTGCTTCATAGTTAATGTTAGTTTTTTTTGTCTTCATCAAATCAAGTCGAGCGGAAGTATGATATCTGACCATTTTCAGTTTATTCCGCAATTTCAGCAGAATGCGTAATTTCTTGGGAAAATATTGCAAAATATCTACAAGGGTATGGAAAAAAACAAAATGAATTAGACGAGAGACTTCGACATTTCTGCGAAAATTGTGAGATTATGACATTGACAAAATCACCGGCAATCTAAGTAATGGGTGGAAATGGAAATTTTGATCTCACTGAAAGGAATAGCTCTATGATTCATTCCTTCGATATCAGTACATAACCATCCTCCTGAGAACATAAACACTGTAAAATCCAGTTGCACAAATTACGCGTATCGTTATCTATTACCAGTTAAATGGCTACTAAGCGCTTTTTTCGCAATTGATTACATGAAAATAATAAGCAGCAGTTTGACGGAAAGAAAAGATGCAACTTGGGACTAAACGCTTTTCCCTCAAATGATGAAACTTTAGATAACAAATAACGAAGAGTGACTTTCCCTCCAGGAAACTTTAGGTCAAAAATGATGGATGGTGGACAATTTTTTACATATGCGCTGCAGTTTCTTTATAATTTCATTATTTCCGTTTTACTGAATTTCTGCCTTTGCTGAAGGAATTTTATCTGGATTTTCAAAACAGCTTTCCAAACTCATTGACATGAAAACTTTGGTTATCATCTCGCATCACTTCATTCCAGGAATTTACAAACTCATTATGATTGCATTACAACTACTATAATGATAAAAATAGTTAAGCGTTATTTGCATCATTTAGAGAATTAATTTAACGGTGTCATCAAGAGCAACCCTCAAGACTTCTGATTAATAAAGAAGAATGACGATTATGTATGATGTTTGTGCGAGAGATTGAAAATCAAGTTCCTAATCTTGTGATATAGAATTCTCACATTTATTGTTATTTAAACTTTTCTATTTAAATGAAAGCGCGTGTAATGTTTATATGATCTTTACACTTATTTATTTTTCTTAGACAGGGATGGATATAACAATCAAAACAGTAAAACATGGAGTTATACGCCAAAATTCAGAATTTACATTTTTTTTTTTTGCATCTTTACTGAATAAATGTATTACAACATAAAATAAGGAGTGGAGATTTATGTTAAAAGTTTTAATTCAGAGCACTATGTACAGTGTTAATGCACATATTTTCGGCCTGGTGAATTTGACAGTAAGGTTCAGGAAGAGATTCTCGAAACTTCGGAAAAGGAAGATATCCTTTATTGTAAAATAAAGGATACTTGCCAACAATTTGGAAATTGATTTTAATTACGGATTTCGAATGGCAAGCCATATAAATGATAAAGGAATACAGGTAGAGATATTCTGAACTGGCTGTATACGATTTGATTATCTATTTCGGTAGAGACAAAGAAAACCAGGTGTTTGGAAAGCACCACTGATGACAAATAAGAAATACCCGGCAGAAATATTTGGAAGTGCTAATTTGTCATCGTAAGTACAGTAATACAAAAAAAAAGAAAAAACCTAGTCGTGGTTTCAAATCGCAGTAAAGATTATTAATTTAACCAATTTGAAGCTCAAGAAGAATTTTAATTTTAATTTGATTAGAGAGAGAGATCGAATATTGCAGACATCCTCTAAATTATTTCATTGGACAACTACAAAGTCAGTAGCATTCTTAATCATTATTTCTGAGTGCGCTAATTTTCATGATCAAACAAAAACAAACCGAAAAAAAAGACAAAGATTGTTTAGATATCGTAGCAAAATTCTTAAACAGGTTTCTCGCTAAAATTTGTCATTTAAGATAACAATGAAAAAGCATTATCCATGAATGTTAAACAGACTCGGTGGAAATGTGCACACCGAATTATCCACTGGTGCAAAAATGTTCAACAAGCGAGAAAATCCATTGATTAATCCTTTCCGTTCAAGGATTTGATTCACAGTCGTTTCATAACGCTATAATGTAGAAATTATTAAGGTTCCAGAACTCTATAAATGAAGAATGCTTTAACATGAATGAAGTAAAATGATGGCAACATTTGAGAACGTGACTTTGTTCAAAACCTGAATTGTTACAGCTCACAATTTTATTTGCAAAATTAACGTAATTTCACTTTTTTGACTTTCCTAGTTGAACAATAAGCAACACGGCTGCTGTTTGTCTGGACTCATTCAATCAGTTGATTCAATATTTAAAAAAATTTTAATTAAAACTTTATGGATTAATAAATCCTGATCTTCCAAAACTGCCATGCTTCACTTTTGTTCGGCTATTACGAAGTATTCTGTAAGAGCATGTTTTTTTTTTTTCTTTTTAAAATATTGTTTCGAGACAATTCAAATATAAATATGAATGACCTGCTTGTAGACAACAGGATCACGAGCAAATACATATAATGGATAGTTGCAGTTCGTTGAAAGTATTGTGAAGCTGTATTGTCCGGCTTCATTTAATGGACCGGCGTGAATTATATGAACTAAAATTTCCATACAATTAAAAGAAATTGAGTTGCTTAATTTGCTACAGAAAACCAAATGGATTTTCAAAAGGTTTATTTCCATGTCTGATAGATAAGAAGACAACAGTAATAATTTTTTTTAAAATTTAAATAATTACCGCTGACATCATCTTGATAACTAGTCGTACGATAAATTAATTCTCCAGCTTGTTTAACAATTGCATAGCCAGAGCTGATCCGTGGCTTAACATATGGTGTACCATCTGTAGTGTATTCAAACACTTCAAATATCGTTCCAACTCCGCCATCATTTACATCTGCTAACTTTTTATATGCAACCATACTGCACGGTCCCGTTGCCAATGGCGGACTATACATGACCTAAAGGCGTCAAAAAACTTTTCAATGTTCGAATTTCTAGCATAAAATATTCGAATCCTACAGAAAAAAAAAAAAAACTGTTAATTTTGGAGCAGAGGTCAGTTTCCTTCCCATCTAAAAATCTCTCAAAATTTTTTTACTAATCCAAACTAAAGCTAAAGATAGGATGATGAGAACTCGCTCGGAATCCACATTGTTTCTGTTCGCCTACAACTTTAGCTCTAACTAACCTGATACCATTGACCCATAAATGCATCTACATCAAATTCTTCAATGGGAATCGGTTTTGGATTACAGAGTGGAGACGACGGTTGAGTTATTAGGTTTTGAATCATTTCCAAATTTTCACCGATCACAGCTTGCTGTGCAGGGGTAAGCGTCAGTGATTTTAACTTGGTCTCAGGATTTTCGTCACTTTGATTCGTCTGCAACTTTCCTTGCATAAAATGAATCCACGGATACATTATTTTAAAAAATTGATAAAAAACAATTTTAAGCATTGTCATACTAGTATGTTCCAAAACTTGAAATGACCTGAGATTTTTGATTCTTTCTTCTTCAGTTGTTATGAAAGTTCCGTAAAAATTAACGCAAAAATNTTTATTTATGATGCGTACTTTAGCAATTGAAGATATATTAAAAATATCAAGACATATAATAAATTACCAACAATTTCAAGTAAATTTTCTGAGAAATGAATTTTTTTAAGTAAGCTCCACAGAGCCATAACTAATCACCTGAACAGATCCACTAGTGAGTGCTTTGTAGAGAACATCAGCAATCATGTTTTTAGCCGGAATCGGGCTGTTCTCACCCCCAATCAAATTACCAACTGCTTTCGTTAAAATCCGTGTGTCAGGTTCAAACTTACTTTTTTTGCTGTTCAAACCGATTAAATTGACTATTGTACCGATTAGACCACCCGACGATGAAGAGTCGTCCGTTAGTGCACCGTACTTCAATGAGGCTTATAAGTTGAAAACTTTCGAGCAGTAAAATTAAGTTCATTAACTTTCAAGGATTTTAAAATCATTCAATAAGCGTAAAAATTTCCAAAGGACCAGAAGAAATGACAATTTTCTACACAAACTTCTGCATTTTCGATGCCTTCGTCATTACTTTCTTTGTTGGAGAGTGAAGCAAGACGGATCTCATTCTCGTTAGGCCCAAAACCTCCATCAGGAACCTCGGGTTGTGATTCAATCTTTGGTATTAGTGGCATCTGACGCAATCATCATTTTTTGAGTCATCTGATTTCAAATTCGACAATTCAATCTTTTTTTCCGAATTTAATTCCTTATTTACGCATCAGTATTTAGCTTACTTTCATCTTTTTGCTTTCTTTGCAATAATTTTGCTTCTAGAATAAACGAAAAAAAAATATTGATACAGGCACAACTGTAACTTGGTACCTGCTCTGTAGCTATCTGTCGTAAATGAGGACGTATTAGTTCAACCGGTGGTCTAGCTAAATCAGGAAAAACATTGGGTATACCGCTTATAGATGAATACATATTATCACCTGATCCTTCAATTTCTTCATCCGCTGTCTCTCTCGGTTGCATTCCCTGCGATTACAGCAGTTAGCTTCATTTGAATATAATGTGAGAAAATCAAAAATCTAAAATCGCTAAATTCTGCAAAAGCCAGCTTATGAAACTGCTAAAGTATTTTGAATTTTATGTGAAGCCGATCAAAAATGAATATAAAATAAACCAATGTACGAACGACACAAATGGGATTTCCACATACCGGGTGTTTGCGGACATTTGAAAATGATGCAATGGGGCTACCGCTGTTAGCAACCGAGAAACCTTGGTTAAAACCAGGTGGTAGTTGTTGAGAGAATCCTGCTGGCGCACTGAGAAACTGTTCCAGGGAACGTTCAACCTCATTCAGTGCGGCATTATTATTTTCTGAGTTGTCTCGTGCAGGACGACCAATTTCGTAACTTTTTGGTGGGAAAAAGCCACCTGGTCTTGGACCAATAACACTTTCAACAAGGCCACGTGCATGGTCTTCCAGCTCGAAATATTTCTTGTATTCGGGTGGCACAGTTGGTTTTGCTGCATAACGCGGAGCTTGCGGTAGCGCAAATACATCAAGTTGGGTAGCAATTAGTGGCATCACATGGATCGTCAAAATTAAAAAAAAATATGTCACATCCATGTTTCTTCTCATGTATAAGTGATGATGCTTTCTCTACATCAACTGTAATGGTCTGTCGCCTGTCCCATCAACCTAAACAGCTTTTTTAATTTTGCAAATCGATATGAGTGTCGTTTGCAAATTCGAAGTCAAACACAAACGACTGCTTCTATGTGATCAGATGGACTAGTTCAAAAACATCAACAGTATTAGAATACTTCCTAAACTTGTAAAAATAGATATCATAAGTTAATCTCAAGTAGCCTAACCAAATGGCAGATTAAAGAAAACATTTGATGCCTAGCACCTTGAACTTTCTTCGGGATGTTAATATGTAGTTGTGTTCATATTGAAGTCCACACTGAATCACAACTGGTCGTGACGATATGTTGGGGATTAAGAAAGATACAATGAGATATTAATGAAAACTAAATCTTCGTAAATTTTTTTCGAAATTTCTTGATCTAAAAGTGGTAAATGAGCGACAGAGTAAACAAAACCGATGAAAACATAGATGAAAGTGCCGGAAGGAGGGGAAGACCCAGCAAGTGACCCCCAATCGGAAAATAAATGAAAAGAAGGAAACGCTGGACGGTAGCTGGAGTTGCCGCATATTTGTGCATCACTTCAAACTAGCACATTAGGTCATTGCCCTTTGGTGACACGTTTATCAAACACGGATAATACATCGACATCAATAGTTCGGTTAGTAATCCACACGACAGAGAAACCAGCAGACAGACAGGCGAACGGACGGACAACACACCCACACACAAAAAGACCGACAGTATTTGGGCCGATCTAAATGGAAATGTACTAAAGAGCTAGAAGATATGCCAAAGGCCGAAATATGTCAGAGGTGAACGGTGCAAGAGTACTCGCTTGGTGGTCCGACTGTAATAGCGATGTGTATATGTATGTATATGTATGTGTGTGGGTGTGCGTGTGGGTGTGGGTGTGAGGTTGTGTCAACATTAACAGGGTCAGTGCCCTTGCACTAGTTTCTGTAATGCCAGCTGCGGATTCTGAAGCATTTCACTAATTGGACTTCGGCCATCCGTTGCAAACGAGGAACCAAATAACCCGAATTTAGTCGCTGTTTCCAATTCGGTGTTTTTCGCTGCTTCCTGATTTTTCAAGACCCTATAAAGCAACTGGTCTTTTAGTCTAATTTTCAAAAAATTGTCTACTTATTTGTGGGCACAAATTTCCCGAGTAAAAATGGAAACGATGTTGCTCATTTTTCGAAATTTACCACGATTTCATGAACTGAAAGTTATTTTACGGACAAAATTATTTGCATAAATCTCTTAAAAGTGTAAAAAATAGCTTAAAGAAATAAAACTAGAATGCATTGTGCTTATTGCATATTTCATTATTTTAAACTATTAAATTAATGCCATGGGTTGAACAGTGGGGAGGCGGAAAGGAGTGAAGAAGAAAGGAAAGAAAAGTATAACTAACTTCATTTAATTTTCTCCTCTCAGTTGCTTCTCTCCTGTCATTTGTTTTTATTCCGTAAACCATTCAGGTGGAAAGAAAAGTTCCAGTAAGTATTAATAAACTGAGCAATACTGCGTTTGTGCTTGCTATTACTGACTCAACAATCATTTCGCGAGATGGAGCTTTGAACATCAGGAACATGCTTTTTTTTGTTAGCTCACCGATAAAATTTACAAAGGTAATAAAATTCCTAGTTGAACTTGAATGAATTATGATTTCCAGAACAGTCATCAAGGGTTCCCAAAGGGTTATTCTTTAAAAATGAATCATTTCGCTACTGAGACATACCGTCTTGCAAATACTTCTTTTTCCGATGGCCATTCACAATCGGCACCCTGATAAATAGGTCTTGGAGAATTCCAAAAAACTTTTCCACCGAATCCAGCATGCTCAAGAAATTTCACAACTTCTTCGTTATATTTCTGGAAATATAATTCGAAATTACAGAATAGTTTCATGTAGGTTTGAAAATTCAATTTACAGAAAATAATAAAGCAAATGCAAATGAGTATTACCTGATAAAATATCATATTATATTACCTGATGAATATCATATTACCTGATAAAATATCATTGGATGGCGGGCATACACGCTCAACGATAGCCTGTTTGCATCAGTTACAACCATATACTGATATAGTTCTTCATTTTCTTTTCCGTCTATAGTACTTGTATAATTTGGGCCGACGTTGATTATATTAACTAAAATTTTCAATAAACTTTAGTGCTGCCATTTTAGTAATGGAATATTGATATGCGATTGTGTAGTAATATTTAAATGTTTTTCAACTTAAATTTCAAAAGCAAATGTTGCTCACATTGTCGAGGATAAAAATATTCTTCAGTATACATCCAGTATTGTCCAACACCAACTTTATTCAGATCTCTTTTGTAAGTCTCAATTGGACCATTTTTTGTTATCACTCGATAAGCTTCTTCAATCGAAAACCCGTCCTCGCCCATTACCGAATTCGGCTTGACTGTAATTTTAAATAGGATTCAGTTGCTGTCAGTCACTTAAATAACAAGTAGTATGGATTAAGCGTAAAACTCTGCCTGGGCAGTAGCTAAAAACTTTTTTAAAGTATAATAGAGCAGAATAGTCTTCATTAAAAAAGCTTTGCTGATAATATACAATTAAGATCGAAGTGTTGGGCAATAAAATGTTGTAGAAATATCCGTTATCTTATCGTCATTAAATGAACAAATCGAAATGACTCACAATATGCAACTGGACAAAACATGTCTGTCCTGTACACATCAAAACTTATCGCTGCTTTGTATACCTGTAATATATATTCCTGAAAATTAAGCAGCAAGCGCAATAATTTCTACATACGTATTCTAAATTCAAATTGTAATTCAAAACATTAATCTGGTGGCGCGATTATTTTCATAATAAAATATTTGACGAGTAATTATAACAACATAATAATGTATCTGCAAAACTTCCTGCTCCTACCTACCATTTTACGTTATTGTAAGCTTTGTTATTTAGCTTAAAACTAATTAACTTACAAAATTAGATTTTAAAACCAAATTGTTATGACTTGATTTTGAAACCAAACTACTATAACAATTTACTAGATAATTACGTATACAACCACTGATACCAGTATATATGGTTTGTAGAAGCATAGCATCAAAGTGATGCATATGTTGATGCAAATATAACAATGATTACCTGATACCATCGACCCATGATCTGTGAAGATGGCACATCAATCGTTTCGACATTATTTTGCATCATATTACTTATACCACCAATGATGCCAGCTAAGGTGTTGATATCCATCTAAAAACTGCTAAATTATTTCGGAATTGACTGAATAACGACGACTCCCTTTTATTGTGATATTAAAAGTCCGCATTTCTCCTGTACTCAAATCGAATTTGCTTTACAGTTGTTCCAGTTCAGTGCTGCTAATAGCGTGTTACTACAAAGTAAATAAGTAGATTGAAAATGTGATTGCAGTAATAAAATGGTAGCAGTGAAAAAGAAATGTGTAATAATGATTAGTCGTTATTCATTGAGATGTGAAAAAATCGAGTAAATTTTTCACAAACAATCGTTTATATCATTTTATTAATTAATGCTAAGAGATCGTTACGTATTTTGAGCTCTAAAGCTTAAACCGTTCTAGTGGTGGTGATTTCTGGATGGTAATGGTCCAGCCTGGGTGGATGTCTAAATAACCATTTCAAGAAATATGAAAAAAATACATACTTACAAAAATTATTTAAGAAATTTTCAGCTCATACAATCTTGAAAAGCTGTAAATTGGCTTACCGGATTTTCACCAATGGTTTCCACATAGCTTACAGTAAGAATAGGTAACAAGAATATTGATATCATTGTATCAAAAGAAGTCAATTGCGGGTTGCTGTACGGTGAATTGAGCACCAATATTATGTAGTGTAGGGCTGTTCAATGGGTAAGGTTGTTGACCTACGAATTGAACTTTATTCATCTGCTCAGTGATCTGATTAGACCTTGAAATTTGTGATATTAAATCTAGGTTATTATTTCCTCCAACATTCCTTTTTACAAGAACCACTGATTTTTTTTAATGGGATACCACCCACGAAAAAAAAAATGTATAACATGCTCAATTATTCTAACACACCGTTATATTACAATTTTCGTTGTTTTTAGAGGCATACACTGAAACTGTGGCATTTTAGGTCCATTTTGCATTTGCGAAAAATTTTTTTTGTACACACACATATATACATAAATCTTTCATATGTATACCTTGGTCTGTATCATCAATTTGACAATTGTGGAAAAGACAACGTTTGATACGTGACTTCGTGTGCATATCTCGCCAATAAATATCAATGTTATTTTTTTTCAATATGAAAGAAAGTTTTATGTGGTGTCACCTATAAGATGATTGAGCCAATTCATTAGCTATTGCTTTTTACGAATTAACGATTACTAAATACGAAAAATCTCAGAGAAATGTTCAAAAAAAACTTGAGATGTGTTTGTTACAGAGAGAATCATCCTCAAATTTGAATTTATCCTTATTGTTGTTTAGCATGATGGTAAAACTTATATCATCCTTCGTTTTTAGATGGCATTTAACCTACCAATATAGTTCAACAGTACTCAAGTTTCAGTATTCTTTTTCAGGCATTTGGAAATTATCTTACAAAGTTAATTTCTCCACTGGTAAAAGAAACGATGGTTTTGAATAACTGCGTCAGTTTCATTTAATTGTAATCACTTAAACGTGTTTCTTCCATCTTTCGATGAATTTAATGGTGTGGAGGTTCATATCCGCTTTCTAGCACGTTCACTATCCTGATATTGATTGCATTTCAAGTAACAAGTTGTAGTGCATGTTGGGGATAGAGCAGTAGGATCTTTTTTTGTATTAGCAACGATGGTACAATGAGTTATAAGTACGTTTAGTGTAAATGGTCTAAAGTAGGCAAAATAAGTTTTGGAATATTTTAATCAGCAGTGAAATTCATATCACAAAACTTTTAGCAAGAAAAAGATTAGTTGTAATTCAATGAGAAACAAATTAAAAACATATCACATCAGTGGTTTGTCTGATTTATCACCAGTTTTTCACACTAATTACAGTTTGGTAAGCAATTGTCCTGCAAAAAAAATTTCGGACGAAAATTTCAGTCAACAACTCGAAATAAGTTTTAGCGAACTTCCAACCAAGCAGGTAGTCCTAACAGATAGTTGTAGTTTTAGCACACAGAAAACATAAGGCAAAACCAGATACAACTTAATTACTTTAACTGCTAAACAAAAGATGAACATTTTATTGGACATCGGTCAACTATTTAGTGAGCAGTATGTCGGCGGGCATAATTTAGCTATATCTGAGCCTTTTGACGAAACCATACGAAAATTACGCCAAACCTTTACTTGCTGGATAATTTTTGAATTTTTTTTTTTTCAGTTTTGATTCTTACTGTGATTGAAAGTGACAGCATCCTGGTTCATGTTTCTCTTGACAAAACAAATTTTGGTTAAAATTTCGAATCTGCATGGTGAAATTGGGATTAAAATAACGGAAGAATTATAAAGATTTTGTGAATGATGTAAATAAGGTCTGTTGATGTTCTGTTCAGTTGTTTTAGAATTTTCTTCAAAATTCAATATGTCTTCGTTAATAGAATCAACAACTTCGAACTTCGCTAGTAAAAGAATGTCACTATTATATTTCTAAAACATAATTTTGCTCGACCTTTCGAAGGATAGCTTAGAAGATGTATCTGCAAAGTAAACAAACCAAATAAAGCCAATAAAAATTAAACTTGTTATTGATAAGTAACAAAATTCAAGTCAGACGTCTACTAGGTCCAAATACTTCGAAAGTACTATCGGCATATTGACAGGAGCTATAGCTAGCTGGCTGTAGCATATTAAAAGCTCTAATGAAGCCATTAATAAAGCCTTGATCCTCTAACCACCGTAGCACTTCTTGTTCGTATTTCGCTTTAAATTTATCCGGATCTCGAACTAACACTGTTACGGGATATTTCACCCAATTTGACACAACTGTCCATTCATATTGCGGGTTACCAAATGGATCAGTTCCTTCTGGACCCAACTTGTAAATCCAAACTGCAAATATTATAATAAAACTTTTGCTATCTTTATCAAGTCATGCAAAGATTTTACTTGAAAAACAATTATAAACTTAGAAAATATTAGGAAAATACATTTGTTAAAATTAAAATTTAAACCCGAATTCTTAGAATAAGCTGTTATTCAATTGTTTTGAAAGCTGCATGATTTCGCCCTAGCACTAAATCGATTGGCTTTATTTTAGCTTTTAAAATCAACTATGTTTCATCTCGTTTCCAGGCGAAAAAAGAATTAGATATTTTGAAAATGCAACAGAATAAAATAAAAGAAATGAAATGGACTGAATCAGGATTTTAGCCTGATAAAGTATTAATATAATCATGATAAACGCGATTCGACGAACATGGTTGTGCATCAGGAGTTTCCGAGCTATGCAACTGCAGCATGGCATCCTTGTTACCTCCTCGAAATGCATAACCGATTGAGTAACGTACGGGACCGAATTCACTCCCCTCACGGTAGATTTTCAATGCCGTGAAAGTAGCCGTCCTATCATTCTTTGTTAAGCCACCATCTATATCAAAGTGATTATATTTCAAGCAAATCAGTTTAGCTTGGCGGCTATTTATTATGATTAATTATCGTCGATATAGTTTTTTGTTTCCCACACATTGATCAAAACGATCAAGAATAAACCGATTTGGTAAATTTTTGCTTTTTGCAGATCCGTAACATCAAAATAGCTTGGAC